CCCACCTGTGGTTTATACTGCAACTATACTGAGCAGACCTTAGTTAAAGTTTCTGGGAGAGAGCATGTTATCTAGCATGATCAACAATTTGAACAAGGCCACCACATTCAAACCTTCGGTCCCGATGACTTGTAACTTCATGCTAGCACTGCTATCAACAGTCGCCCCCAAATGTTCCAACTACCCAATTTCACTCACAAGGCTTGGGTCAACCCATGGCATGGTTTTTAGGTACTTTCCAAAGGTGTGGCATGCTGGGATTGTACCCCTTCCAGACCGATAAAATCAAGAAGTCTCCTTCCTGACAAATCAATCGTGGTGAGGTTCAAACCCGAGTCTCATGGTCAGAAAATGAACATTCTAACCACTCAGCCATGCACCCATATATATATATATATATATATATATATACACACACACTCACATTATTCAGTTTTTCTTTTATGAGTGTTAAGAAAGTGTTGGTAGTGATTATTGTAACAATCACTTTTGGCCAATTCATCAGCCATTTTCAAAGGGTTCTTAGTATATCTTTTTGTGTTTATGTTCTAATCTGTGCTGAGTTGTAGCAAATCCATGTTGGTGCATCTTCAGAACACCACTAACACTACAGAAAATTTCAACAAGTTTCCTAAGTCCTTTCACTTAGCAATCTAGTATTATAGAAGGTCAATAATTACTAAACTTTCATGAATTACTTCAACCATAGAAAAGACAGTCACTATATGTTGTAGAATTATAGCATTGAGGCACATTATTCTTCTATGTCTTTTTAGGATAGGGGTGATCATAGCTCTCCATAACTTTCTGTCCTTTGTAGCAATGTTTGTCTGTAAGACAGACATAGGTAGAATGCACAGTAAGAAAGGATAAAAGATGTAGCAAAAGATTGGTTTATTTGTACCCAATGGATTGCAAAAGCAATAGAGAAAGACCAGACAAAAGATGGCAAGATGAGATAGAGGGTATTGGTAAGACAATGTAGAGAACAGCATAGCCATGATTTTTCATGTCATGTTTTGAAAAAGGCCTTTATACAACAGTGGATGTGCTACATCAAGCTATTATATATAACATCAGTCTCTGTCTATATTTCTGAGATGAGGTATTATGTACACTATTTACATTATTTGGACTATTGTCCTCATTTTTGTTGCAATATTTATTACAACATTTCAGCCATTGTACGCTCCGGCCTTCTTCAGGTGGTTGGAATGTCGAACTGAACCCTTTATTTCGCTCACTGGGGTAATAGAATTGGTAGACTGTTCTAGTTCCACGTGCCATGGTGCCAAGGGATGTCAGTTATCGGTTATCTCCAGTTAATTCCCTTCTCCACTGCCTTAACCAGGTATTGAACTCGCACGCTTTTGGGTTCTGTCACTAACGCCTTTATCCACTGTGCTATGTGCCCTTGAGGACATCTGTGTATGAATTTCTAGGTATTTTAAACCTAATGTCTTCAGCATCATTTTTTACAAGTGCTCATATTGCAATTTTTGCTGTTATCAACATATGTTTTTACCAGAGCTCATATTGCAATTTTTGTTGTTATTATCACTTTTCTCTGGCAGTTCAACATTCCAACCACCTGAAGAAGGCTAGAGTGTACAACGGCTGAAATTTTGTAATAAATATGGCAAAAAAGATGGGAACAATAGTCTAAATCATTTTCTACCAAGGCCAATGTACTGATGATGAAGGGGGCTATACTAATGACATAGGTATTCATAGTTGGGATAAGAATTATCTCAAACAGAAAATTGACATCCTCTATCAAGTGGTCCAAGAAACAGGACTCAAGATAAATCTTTCCAAAATAGAAACTATGTTCTGGAATTGGAATGAAGGCAGTGATGGCTCCTGCCTTGAATCCATCATAAAATTTCAGAATGTGGAATTAGTCAATACTAAACACTATAAATACCTCAGGTATGAATCAGTTATAACAAATTAAGCACTGGAGAAAAGGAAATCAAAAACAGAAGGTTGTGCCAGAGTTAGTTTCACTGTACACAGCAAATTAATACAAAACTAAAACATCATGCTGAAAACTCGTCATGTTCTTAAATAGCCTCATCAGATCAAGACTCTAATGTGGATGTCATGTATGTCAAACCCATTCAGAAATATATAAACTCTCAGCTGTATAGAACTGCTGCCTAACAATCAATGGTGAAAAAAAAAACTTTAAGCAAATGAAATCTGAGGACCTTGGCAAAGCTCATCACTCTTTGAACATTTTGGACTGGCTCCACAGAATTGCAAACAAAGAACTGTACCAAATAACAGAAACCGCATCACTTGAGGACTTCCAACAGCAGCAATAACTAAAATAGCACATGTAACTCAAAGAAAAAATAAGGACATATTCAAGTTGTTAACATTCCACACCACTTCAAATAAAAGGTTGGGAATGAACCCCCCATCAATACTGGAAAGAGTGGTAATATATATTGAGATGGAGAAGCCTATATTCCTGAAAAATTGTTTTAAGAGACAGATTTTATAAATTTCTACTGACAACAGGCTGCTTGGTTGATGAATGCCAAATGTTTCCTTGTAGGGAAACGGCTAATATTGGCATTACTTTCGACAGCAGCAATAATTAAAATAGAGAAGCACATCTAAATCAAAGAGAAAATAATGACATAATCAAGATGTCAACATTCCACACAAATAAAAGGTTAGGAAGGAAACCTCCATCAGTACTGGAAAGAGCAATAACAGCTACTGGACTTGAGAAGCCTGTTTTTCTGAAAATTTATTTTAAAAGAAATATTTTATAAATTTCAACTAAAAGCAGTACTGTCTGCTCAGTCAATGAATACCAAATGTTTCCTTGTAGGAAAATTTCTAATATCACTATATATATATATATATATATATATATATATGTATGTGTGTGTGAGAGAGAGAGAGAAAGGAGAAATACACAGCTTAAACAGCAAATATAAAATGTAGGATTTTTGCTGATACCCTTTGTCAATTGTAGTTTTTTTGAGCAAATAACATTTAAGGCTACTTCAAAGGTAGGCACTAGGTGTTTGGGTAAATCATTCTTTTTCATGGTCAAATTCTCTGAATTTTTGAATATCAGCTCTCAGACACACACACACACACACACACACACATATAATAAAACTGGGAAGGACATATAGATCCTTATATGAACGTTGTTGTTTTCTGTGTTTACAGGAGAAAATGCAGATTATGAGGTTCTTGAATAGAGATGATTTATTAAATCAAAGATTTGAATTAACAGTTAATTGTAAACATATCATACCTTTGAATCTACAATCTTGCGAGACTTTGAAATTTGACAATTGCTTCTTATATTTTAGAATAACCTTGTTGCACCATATAAAGCTTATCTTTTGTTAATAAGATCTATTTCAACATTGTATTATTTGTACATTATTCTTCTAGTACTGCTGGTAATATTTAGTCTAGAGGTATATGCATTTGGCTGACATTTCCCATTCATTGGTTTTATTAACACCCTATATAAGACCCTTTAGTTAACAGTTGCATTCTATTTTATTTTGTATGATCTATATATTTAAATTTTGTTTGATCTATATGTTTTAATAATTAGATCTATTTGTTTAAACTTTCCATTTATTTCTTGAAGGGTGGGCTTATTTGCCATTTATAAAAATGAGAATTTTTCTTTTTTTTTAACTCACAGGGTATGTAGTTTGTTGAGTATCTTGTTTAATTTTGTTTCTTCTCTCCTAGGAAATAACATTGCCTTATGTATAATATTGTAGCAAATTCACATCCATACCGAATATAATGTTTGAATTTCATCTACAATTCTAAATCTGTGGGGCATGACCTCTTACATATGATTGCTTCTTAACTTTCATTTTCCCCTTACTTTGAACTTAGTGTAGGTCATTCCAATTGGTTGATCTGAATAAAAACAAAACAAACCCTGTTACTATCTCCTCTTTTTTTCTTTCTTACTCTTTTTCTTATTCTTCCTTTTCTCATGAAAAGTGGGTGTATGTTGTTTTTAAATCTCAATAAATTGTCTACTCATCAGTTATTTACTAATGCCTGATGAGATGTGTTAATACACATTGAAACAAGATTGCATTTGTGTAGTGTTTTTACATATTTTTGATGTAATATCCTGAAATAAAGAATATTGCTCTACTTTTTTTTTTATTGAGCCCTCTTTTAAATTGAATGTTACGAACATCAGAATTGAATTCTATTCATTCTCATTTTACATGGATATATATATTTTCTTATTTTGGAAAAGGCATGAATCCATTTTTCTCCTGCTTTGGGTTATTTTGCAAGGTTGAGTGGGCTTTCTTGTTTTGGAGTCTAGGAGATAGAAAACATGGAATTCAGATCTTAGGATGGCTGTTTGGAAAATTTGTGGCACACTGTGTACCATTTCTCTGTCATCAGTTCTCCCATACTATATTTCTCTCTGATGTTAAGTGCAACTGATTCTACAAAAGACTTCACTATTATAATTAAATCATATGCATGAGTAGTCTAGCAGCTCAATTGTAAACTCAACTGTTGAGTCCGCTTGTTGGTTAAAATTAAGTAGGGAATTCAACATTCACACACACACACACACACACATATATATATATATATATAATGTAGGATTGGCTTGAGGTAATGCAAGGAGAATTCATGCTTTCACTTCTATCTAAAAAAGCATGGAAATTCTTTTAAGCTAGTTCTGGATTCTAGCAATCTATCTGATCTTTAAAACAGGTTCAGAGTATTTGAGATGTACTGTGGCATCAAAACATGTCACTTTGAGCAATGTAGAAGCATTTATCTCCTGGATGGGCTTGAGGGTAAAAATGCAAAGGAAAAATTATCCCAGGAGCTGCCAAAAAAATCAAGTATAAAAATAAACAAAAAATGCATAGATTGAAGAGAAATCCACGTTTTTGTTCTCTTAAAGGGAACTTGAAAACTTGTAGCTATCTTGTTTTTCCTCATTTTCTCCCCACTTTCAGATTCATTCTTTTTCTTTCCTCCCCTGCTTTTTCTTTCCTCCCCTCCTTTTTCTTTCCTCCCCTTCTTTTTCTTTCCTCCCCTTTTTGCTCTCTTTTTATTTGTCTTTCTTTCATTCCTTTTTTTCTAATTGCTTCTCTATTTTATTTTCAGCTTTCTCTTTTATTGTCTGTCTTTTTTCTTCTATCGCACTCTGTTTTCTCTTTTTTTGCTGCCTGTATTTTGCATTTTTTTTCCTTGTTTGTTTTCTTTTCTTCATACCACATTTTCCCTCTTTATTTTTCCCTAAAAGACATTTTCTGTCATATTCTCTTTCTCCTTTTATTACTTTGCCTCAATCAGTTCAATCTTTTCAATTATCTGTCTTTTCTCATTCAGCTGTTTCTATTCTGCTATCTTGTCCCATAAATCTATCATTGCTTTTTTTTATGAAATTTTCTTCCAAAGTCAATTTTTTTTTCTCAATCTTTTCTAATTTTTGTCTGCTCTGTAATTTAGTCTTTGTCATTTTTTTTCCTTTCTTTATCTTTTTCTTCTTTTCTTTGCTTTCTAGCTATTCTTTCTTTTCTTTTTGTTTTCTAATTTTTCTTTATTCTTCTTTGCTTTCTAATTTCTTTTTTTCCTTTTTATTTTCTAATTATTTTAGTCTGCTTCTATTCCTCCCTCCCTTTCTCATCTTTTCCAGTTCTCTTTCACGTTTTACTACCCCCCTCTCTCTCTCTCATCTTCCCCCTCATCTTTATAACCTTCTTTCTCTCTACTTCCAGTTCATTAAAGTTCAAACCATCTTGTTATAGAGCTCTCACCTGCCTATTTTTTAACAATGCACTCATCCTGTATTAAGTGATTATCCACAGGTCTTCAGGTTTGATGATCATAAAACTTGCTTTCAATGACATAATATCAAGAAATCTTTCTTAATTCTTTACTACATTTTCTTTGTTATTTTATTTCTCTCTCTCTCTCTCTCTAGCATTGAGTAGTAGATTGGTCAGTGCACATTGTCTACAGGGGTATTGACAGAAAACAGACACTACTTTTAAATTAGGATTGATAACAAATGACTTTGTGATACTGATAAGTTATCTACCAACTTCACAAAAACACAAAGATGATATCAACTTCAATGAAGTTGAGGCTGATGTACTGATTTTCTTATAGAATGCAATGACTAATGGAAACATGGCTACTATGTACTCGTTTTCTTTTTCCTAGAAAAAATGAGATGAATTACATGTACAATGTTTTTACTTTGATGAAAGTCTGGAATGGCCATAGGCAAACTGTAGGCCGTTCGGCTTTTTGAATGGCATGTCTAATTTCATAAGGAAAATAACATTTTTTTTAAATTTTGTTTCATTTCATTCTCACTTATTCACTTGCACTCTCTCTCACTCACAGAGGTTTGAGGAAGTTGATGTCAAAGAGGAATAAATATTAAATGCCTGTTGTACCTCCAAAAACCTCATGTACACTGTTGGATGTGACCAGAATTAAAGCATTTGTTAATGTAGACATTTAGACACCATAATGTAAACAACATGCAGACATAGTTTCAGTAAAATAACAAAACCTGCAGATCAGAATTAAGGGCATTTTGGTCAATCAAACAGAAAATCAAGAATCTAAAATTTTGTTAAAGTTGAACCTATCTCTACTGATATAAGCAGAGGAGAATTACTATTTAGCAAAATTAGTGATATAGCAACAGGAGAAGAAACCACATCAATGGACCAGGAATGACACACCAGCACTGTAAAATTCCACCCACTACTCCTGGACAAGGAATTTGACACAAGAACTAATGCTTCACTCATAAATAATTGGATTTATTTGTAAGTATGAGCTTTGTACACTAAAACATAATACACTCCGAAAAGCTTACACATGTGATTTATGACTGACTAGCAGCATGGCCCGGTGTTGCCCGTGCTCGATTCAAAAATTGTATGACTCATACAGCAATCGCTATCACTTGACTTAAAATATTTTTGCCCTTCCTTGCCTTTAAAGGAGTGCCCTTTGCCATGTTGATGTTGCTACATGCCTTACTTCTTGCCTATCTCACACTGCAAATTTTTTCTAAGCTCTATACTAAACATTAAATCTGTTATGAAAAAAGAACTAAACAAAATGAACACAAAATAATCAGCTTTAAAAAAGGACTCATAACTGGAAAAACCAAATGAAAAAATAATGTTAACAACAAATACTTTTTCACACCCAACCCAGTTTTGCGGAATCAGAATCAACGTTGAGTTTAAGCAAACGAATGAGTAAAATGCCATGCAGATTTAATTTTTTCCCACTTGTGACGAATGCAGTTATCGATTTTTTTTGCATGCTAGTTAACATTCATGTCAGTCAGCTGTTGGTTCTCACACTGGCCAATAGAATCTTCCTGCCTATTCATGGCAGCCAGCTATAGGCTCTCACTCTGGCCAGTAGAAAATGGCTGCAAACTACATGAAAACTGCCGTAGAAGCATGAAAAAAATCGATTATTTCCACTATCGATCAGAGTTGGGAAATGCAAAGTCAGTCTTGACTTCCCTGCTAACTTGGAGGATGTGCATGTAAATTTTGGTGTAAATCCATTGAAAATTGCGGCCGTGCATTCGTCACACACACACACACATCCTGCCTTTTATAGATAGAGATGCTTGCCATTTGAACAACAAATGACTTACTCTGACAGAAAGTCATTTGTTTTCTTCAGCATCAGTGTTTTGCTTAATAAATAGTTGTTATTTTTGTTCTATAAATCCATGTTTCTGTAGTTAGAAATGTTGCTACTTTAGGGCCAATAAAACAAATTGTAGCTATCACACCTTCTATATGCTCAACTAGCCTCCCTACTTTTTAAAACAGTTCAACTAAACCATATACATAACAATAATTAAGTATATTGCTTCTTGAGATTTTTCAGCATTTAAACCATTGACATTTGTAACAAGAAAAAATGGCTTACATGCTGGCAGAAAATGGATTCAGACATGTCTCCTATGTAAAGTATCCCAAAAAGAAAATGGGGGGCTATTTCAGCACTCATGCACCGATTCAACTTGAAGTTGATACCAGAGTTCAATGGTTCATCCACTGGCCTATCTGTTGTTGAGTGGGTGGAGGATGCAGAGCTCATTTGCTAACTATACAAATTGAAAGCCAGCAACAATCATTCCTTTGAGGCTGTTGGGGTGCCTATGCTGTGCAGCAGCAGCTTAAAGAGAAAGAAAAAATGACTTTGCCATGATAAAACATGCTCTTTATATGGCCTTAGGACCGGACCAGACCAGAACAACAATTTATTGGATGTTGACTACTCCCTGGTGAAAAGGTTGATGTCCTCCTGGCCGATTTATAGAAACTTTCTGTGCCATTTGGGGGCATGAATGATTGGATACTGGGGTGTGCCTTTGTAGCAGAATTATGTCAGTTAGCTTTTGCAAGCAACATCCAGAATAGATGAACTATCGACCGACCAGCTATTGTCCCAATCCTAAACCATTTGCAAGGAACTGGAACCAGTGGTAGCAACAGCAGCAGCAATAACAGATAGCAGAGCAATATCCCAACCAGCAAGTTATTTCTCTGCCATTGACAATTGCAATAACCTTTGCAAGAGAATGCCAGAGCCAAAGTAGTGAAGGAGCATGAGTTAAGGGAGCAGAGAGACAGCTGAGGTGCTATTGCTGTAATAAGCTGAGTCATGTGGCATGGAATTCTTTAGGAAATGCATCTGTGGTCAAGGTATCATTGCCAACCTCATCTCCTGTAAGACAGTAAATGTACCATTACCTGTAGTCGAGATCCAGGTAGATTGTATAAAGTGTTCAGCACTCATTGATACCAGATGTTCCTGGTCAATAATTAGTGCTCATCACTGTCGATTGTGGAGGAGGTGACATGTAGACATTGTAACACTATTTGAGTGAAAGAAGCGAATTAAGGAACTTTATTCCAAGCAAGAAGAAACTGACTACAACAATTTTCACTAATGAAGATCTACTTTTACTTTAGAGACACGAAAGGATTATTAGAAGCTTTTCTCCAAAGAAAAAAAATCAACTTTTTCCCATTTCTAAAACATGAGATAAACTTCAACAAAAAAACTACCTAGAGGTCTTTAGTAGTATAACCTGCTTTATAATGAGACATGTCTCATGTGACCCTTTGTCCAAAAAGGTTGTGCATGCCTTGTCTAGAACCTAAACCTTTTCAATATTTATAAACAAAAAGGATGAAGTCATTACATAGTAATTATTTTATTAATTATTTGAATAATTTTCCTGATCTTTATTGTCATCAACTGGTGTGTTCTTTGAGCTTCTTCATGTGTATGCAACATATAAAAACTCTGTACAATTTTTCCCCACTCAATATTTTTTCTAGTTACTATTACATTGTTGAGAATCCATCTGCCCAGGTATTTGTTTTTATCTGAGTGTCAAGATTCCAAATTTTTAGCAACAATAGCAACAAATCTTTTAAATGAAATATAAGAAAAAGCCATTAGCTGAAGCAAAAGTAGAAGCAGAACATTAGTTGAAATAACATTTATATATTCTTTTCATAGATATACAATAACAATAAAATGTTCGATTTCCCTTGCAGTAAAGTTTGCTGTATCAAGTAATTAAGTATTTGTAGTCTAGTGTGAGATGTGTGGACAGACTTACTTCAGGATGGTCAGCCTAATGTTTCTGTCAGTACATGGACAAGGCCTTAGTTAGCAATTGCTAGTGCATCTCTTCCATTTGTGTGGGTGTTTTTGTCTGCACATGTAGACCAGACAGGCCTCCAAAATTGTTTTTGAACATTGAGAAATAGTACACTTCTATTTTTATATCCATAAGGGAGATCCAAAATCGAATTTCACATAGAGGTATGAACTTTTTGAATACAAGACTTACATGAGTTAGAAAATAATTTCACACAGGCACATAAAAATCTTTTTCTCACTTTTGCGAGGGAGACTAAGGGAGTTATTATTGTTATTTTCTAAGTGGTCCTAAAATAACAGATGGTAGGTGTACATGTATTTTGGCAGTATTTGCAGTTGTAATTATTGTTTATGAAACAAACCTTCTGATGGGATTTTATTGATTGAAAAATATATATAGGATTTAATTCCTGTAACATCAGTTGTGTTAATTCATTTATTCCTGCAGACTCTGTGTTACATAGACCCATAAACGCATCATGATGCTGCTGCAGGTTCAGTAGCAAGTGAATTTTTATAAATTTGGAATGCTAGCCAGTGTTAGGAAAGTGTATTCATGCTTTTCCTAAGGGTATTAGAGCAAAGTGAATACAAACTGTCCCAGCTGCAGTTTGAACCCAGTTTGCCGACTTGATTCTCTATCCCATTAATTGTTAAACCACTGTCAATTCCTGTATTAATTAGAATAATTCACAAGTCTAAACATCAAAGATTTATACTTGAAATTACTGAAATGGTTATCAAGGAAAATAGAATCTCTCCTTGTACATTTCTCTCCATTTTTTTTTTTTTACGCTCCAGTTATGTTCTAACTGGTTCTCTGGGATTTTATTATACATTCTAGATAGTTTTGGTTATGAAGAACTATAGTCTTGGATTGTCTCATAATTGTTTAAATATCTTAACAGAGTAAAATAATATCATCTTTATAAAAATACCTTGTTTGCCCATCAATGAAGATTTTATCAAGCGCCATGAAAGTGTCCACAAGATTACCGGTCTCACTGCCATTCTACTATAATATAGCTCTGATTTAAAAGATATAGAAACAATTTCTTTTGCTGAAAAAGGTTTG